TTGATATGTATATATACATATACATGTATTTATATATATAGCACGTGTTAAAGGTAAACGAATTATATCGTCATTTCTTCCTTTTATGTCTGCACACATGAACGCTACGCTAAACCCTTACCGATCTCATCTCTCTCACCCTTTGCACCTGCCCACCCCATCGTCTCCGTATCCAAATGCTAATTTCGCGTGGGGTTATTTGATGCTGCATTAGTTGGCGTGCACCGAGTTACCTACAAGCGTTGTCTGCGGAGAAGATAGAGTCACTGCGCAAGCGATGGCACATCATTGTCGAGGGCGAGAACGCGCCTCCACCAATCAAATCCTTCAAAGAGATGCGCTTTCCAAAGGCGGTGCTTAAAGTACTAGAGAAGAAAGGCATCAAACGGCCCACTCCTATCCAGATACAGGGATTGCCTGTGGCGTATGTGTATTGGTGTACATTTGTGTATGGGGTTGGTGTGTGTGCAGTAGTCGGGCGTGTGAGGTTTTGCTTACGTTCGTGTGTGTTTTTGTATGTGATGTATTTAGTAGGTAGAATGCATTTCATTTGCTATGTGTATGTATTTTTTTTCACATGTCCGCAGAAAGAAGTGTTCCTGTATGCCCTTGTCTACCGTGTGTATGTGTGTATATGATGGCATGTTTATGCATGTGTGTATATGATGGTATGTTTGTGCATGTGTGAGCATATGTTAAGTACATACACATACATACATACATACATATGTGGGCATATGCATGTATACACTTTTGTGCTTGCATGAAGGTGTTTGAGTATCTTTCTACATGTGTCTCGTAAGACAGTCATGTAAGCATGTCTGACGAGGCATTGTACGGCAAAATAGTGTTCTTCTCGTCACCTGCGTTATTGCATTTGGTTCAATGGCATTAATTTTAGGCTTAGGGTTTAGGGTTCGGCCTCATTATCTAGTATGCACACGGCGCACATGCATTGGCTTATAGGCCCAGGTTGCCTTTAAGACGGTTGTGTTACACGGATTACAATGGATCGTGGTTTAGTCCCAGGGTTTCTCTGAAACCCTAGTGAGTCCAGGCTGAAGTCGTCGCAATGCACCGTGTTGTATCGAGGATTGTCTTCGGAATTAATGGCGAAGTTCTGTACTGTGGGTTGGTACAGACATATGTGCACACATGAACAGAGGTGATGAACCATTACAAACAGGCACACAGAAAAAGTATGGACACACATACACACATATATATATACACGCAATGAATTAACTTACACATGCACATTCACGCATACACGCTCACAAATACGGTTTTCTGTTCCACAGGCTGAGTGGCAGAGACATGATCGGCATAGCCTTCACGGGAAGTGGAAAAACCATGGTTTTTTGCCTTCCCATGGTGATGCTAGCGCTCGAGCAGGAGACCATGCTGCCGTTTGTGGGGGGGAGGGGCCCTTTGCCATCTGCATATCACCGTCACGCGAATTGGCCAGACAGACGTACGACGTCGTGGGCGAGTTCTGCCAGGCACTGCGCCAAGGAGGTAAGGCCTAAACCCTAAACTGTAAACCATAAACCCTAAACCAACCCTTAAACCCTAAACCCTATACCCTGAAAGACACGCGTGGCGCGTGAGGGTTCTGTGTCTCTGTTCCGCAAAGCCGCACCATACACTGCATCCGCACATTGTTTTTATATCGTCTTTACATTATCTTTAAATTGTCTTTACAGTGTCTTGACATTATCTCTACATTGTCTTTACATTGTCTTTATATCGTCTTGATATTGGTTTATATTGTCTGTAGGGTTTCCTCAGATACGCCATGCGTTGGCCATGGGAGGAGTGAATGTGAAGGAGACACTAGACGTTGTCAAGAAAGGCGTGCACGTGCTAGTGGGAACAACAGGACGACTCATGGACATGCTCAACAAACAACTGGTCACCCTAGACCTATGCAAGTATGTGCAGTGGGTGCATATGCAGATTTCAACTAGGTTTATCAACTAGGTTTATCAACTAGGTTTATCAACTAGGGTTATCAACTAGGTTTATCAAATAGCGTTATCAAACCGGTTCATCAATTAGGTTTGGCATCTAAGTTTATCAACTTGATTTAACAACTAGGTTCAGTAATTTGGTCTATCAACTATGTTTAACAACTAGGGTTATCAATTCCGTATATCAACTAGGTTTAACAACTAATGCAATCAACCAGGTTTATCAACTAGGCTGAACAACTAGGTTTATCAACTAGACTTAACATATAGGGTCTAACAACTATGTTCAACAACTAGGGTTAACAACTGAGCTTACCAATCAGATTTATCAACCAGGTTTATCAATTGGGTTTCTCAACTAGGCTTATTAAAAAGGTTGATGGGAAATATACAATGCGTCCGATTCAGGGCAGCTTCAAGCATGGTGGTGGGGTTTTTCATTTATGAATTTATGAATTTATTTATTTTATTATTATTCATTTATTTATTTGTTTATTTATTCATTTAATTATTCATTTATTCATTTATTCATTTATTCATTTATTCATTTGTTTATCATTCATTTAGATTGATGGCGATGGATGAGGCAGATCGAATGGTCGACGATTTCGAGGAAGACGTGCGAACGATATTCTCATACTTTAAGGTGTGTCCCACATTGCTTTGTGCAGGTGTGTGTGTGTTTATGCACCTGTGTGTGTGTGTTTATGCACATGAGTGTATGTGTTTATGCACATATGTGTGTATGGATGATATTCCCATACTTTAAGGTGTGTCCCATATTGCTTTGTGCGGGTGTGTGTGTGTTTATGCACATATGTGTGTATGAATGATATTCTCATACTTTAAGGTGTGGCACACATTGCTTTGTGCAGGTGTGTGTGTGTTTATGCACATGTGTGTGTATGGATGATATTCTCATACTTTCAGGTGTGACCTTGTTTTGTGCAGGTGTGTCCCACATTGCTTTGTGCAGGTGTGCGTGTGCCAATGCACATGTGTGAAACAGTATGCCCTTCTGTTCCTTTGCTTTGCCTCTGTGTACTGATAGCTCTCGTGCGCACCTGCTCATCGCATTCATAGGCCCATCAGTAAACCCTCCTGTTCCTTTTCTTTGCCCCCTTGTACTGATAGCTCTCGTGTGCACCTGCTCATCGCATTCATAGGCCCAACAGTAGACCCTTCTGTTCCTTTGCTTTGCCTCTGTGTACTGATAGCTCTCGTGTGCATCTCATCGCATTCATAGGCCCAACAGTAGACCTTTTTGTTGCTTTGCTTTGCCTCTGTGTACTGATAGCTCTCGTGTGCACCTGCTCATCGCATTCATAGGCCCATCAGTAGACCCTTCTGTTCCTTTGCTTTGCCCCCGTGTACTGATAGCTATCGTGTGCATCTCATCGTATTCATAGGCCCAGCGGCAGACCATTCTGTTCTCGGCCACAATGCCTCAGAAAGTGCAGGACTTCGCACGCAGTGCCTTGGTGAAGCCAGTGATTGTCAATGTGGGCCGTGCGGGTGCCGCCAATCTGGATGTGATACAGGTGCGTGTGTGTCCATTCTGGATGTGATACAGGTGCGTGTGTGTCCAATCTGGTTGTGATACAGGTGCGTGTGTGTCCAATCTGGTTGTGATACCGGTGGATGTGATGTGTGTGGTTGTGATATGTGATATGTCCCTGAGTATGTATGTTGCCATCATGCCTATGGTGCTCATACCGACCAGTGCTGTTCAGCCGTAGATACTACAGTTATTTACACGGTGGTTGTATGTGCAGGGTAGTTGTGTGAACGTATATGGATGTATGCGGTGTCAATGTATGACAGTTCTCATGGCATACTGAAATCTTACATGTGTACCACAAGCCCGTTTAGCACGTCCTAACGTCATAACGTATCTGTGAAAGAGGTGTGTGGTTGTATGAAGAATCACTGCCCCGCCCATCCATCCTATGCAGCACATGGACTATTGATTTGTGGGCTTGAGCATTCGGTGTTTTTTGGTAGTTGTGATAGTTGTGATAGCTCAGTTGACTATAGTGAGGGTGCGTAGTTTATGCTCAATGCAGGGGTCATGACAGTGTACTCCACTTTTGGTAGGTAGGCGGATCTTAGATATCTCACACTTTGTATGTACACTAAAGCGTTTTACACGGCTCTAGTAACATGTTGAAAAAGATTCACATAAACGTGTACGTATACTCAAAGCGTACACACGGGGTGTCCTCAACGTGGTGCTGACTTTCTCACAGGAAGTGGAATACGTTAAGCAAGAAGCCAAAATCGTGTATCTGCTGGAGTGTCTGCAGAAGACGGCGCCACCTGCTCTAATTTTCTCAGAGAATAAAGCCGATGTGGATGACATCCACGAGTACCTCTTGCTCAAGGGAGTCGAGGCTGTGGCCGTGCACGGTGGCAAGGGTAAGTGTATAGGTTTACACTCGCTGTATATATATATATATATATATTTATATAATATATATATATATGTATGTATGTATGTATGAATGTATGTATGTATGTATGTATGTAT